ATTCGAGAGGAGACGCGAAGCTGAGACAACGAGGAGAAACGGGGTGTGAGACCTTTTGTAGCGCGCCCAGTGTTTTTCCTCCGGAAACAAGATGAGTTCCCACTGGAGGGACTTGATTGTTCACCATCCCGAGCACTTTGTTAATTGGAGAGTTTTTACACTGCTGTTTTGACTCATGGTATTACAAGCAGATCAATATCCCGCCTTTGGGATCACCATTCCTCTCGTTACTCCATAAAAATGTTAATTGCCCACCACGCCTGGTGTGGTTCATGCACAGGGATGGGGAGGCTTCTGGATGGTCTTGCTGCCTTTGACAAAAAACATTTACCTGTTTCTTATGCCTAATGCAAAGTAGCCCTGAGTCCAATTCGGCAACGCAAAGATGTTAGAGGGTGGGAAGGTGGGATAGTGGGGTGGGCTGGTGGACTGGGTTGCAAAGGGATCCGGAAAATAAAAGGGGCTTGAAAGAGAACAAGTAAGGCCATGGTGGAAAAATGAGTGCGTTTGGGCAGCTTGGGAAAAAAATCTAGGTTGTGAGTGGGCAAAGGAGACAGAGAATTACGGGTGCAGCTGTGAGCACATGATGGGGTGGCAGAAGGTGAGCACAGAGCCCAGGGCTGGTCTATGAGGGGGGTGCCCTGAAAACAAGGAGCATGAGCATCCTCCGCTGAGCCCCGGGGGCCAGCATTGGCCATCCGCCTCTGCTGGGGCGATTGGGCTTGGCTCTGGTGGGTTACAAAAGGAGTCAAATTGCCTCTGGGCCCTAAAGCTGTCACTGGGGCTTGGGTTTAGGGTTTAGAGGTGGGAGATGGCCATGCGAGACTTTGAGGCAAACTCCTGCTGGACGCGTCCGGTTGGAACGATGGGAGTGGGCAAATGCAGGTGGTGGGATGTGGCCGGTGACTAGCATCAAAAAGTAACCTATTTCTGAGTACAACAGCAAAGAAGCACCAAAAGGAGTGTTGCCATATTTCAAGCCAGTCCTCTTTTTGCCTTTTAACCCAAACAGAAGGAATTTAAAACCCCATAGGAGGCAGAGAGCATCCAGGCAGGAGGTTCAGGGAGCCAAAAGTTGTCCAACAGCGTCCTATTCCCAAGATACTTGTTCCAAATATCTGCTGTTGGTTACCTTTATTCCACTTCGATCAGAGTAAGAGGTAGGGAGGAAAGTGTTGTGACTTTTTGAGCTCTTTCACCCCTCTGTGCCTTTGTCCTCACATGTACATTGGGGAGGGCATCGGCACCCGTGTCTCTGTTGATTTAATGCTCTGGTTTGGGGAGAAAAGTGTCTTTCTGCCTATGGAGCGCACCAGGCCTGATCTCAACTAGGACTCTAGAGGCCACTGTAATATTAATAATAGCACAGATCAAATTAAAATAAAATACAGAGTCATTGCTAACCAATGGAGCTGAATCACTTGAACGAATTGATACGTGAGGAAATCAGAATGTGTCTGGGGATATTTCACAAACGTCAGAAGAATGAAAAGTTCTTGTGAAACTAGTATTCACGATTCACTAATTACACCCCAGATCATGTGGATGGTGACAAACACGTTTATCATTTCTCTCGGCAATAGAGTCATCCACCTGAGCCTGGCCTGGTGGGGAGGATGCTCAGGTGTGTCAGAGACCTGGACCCATGTAGCAGACAGGACCGTATTGACCCTACAGCTGGTCTCTGAGCCCCACATATCTCCTCCAAAGATCCTAATCTTTGGGAGACGTTTCTTTGTGTCCCTTGATCCTATTCTGAGTGGATGGCAGTTTTTTTCTTTGGGTAATTTGTTGGTTTTATGGAGGAAATTGCCTTTGCAGCTGCCCTAATACAAGTCTCAGGAGATGGTTTGTTCCCCAGTTTGGATCTGGGTGGCTTTATACATGGTCATGATGCTTCCATATGTCATTTATTGGTTTTCTATTTATTAAGGAGACAAATGAAGCACAGAAAACCCCCAAGATCTTAGCAGTATCTGGGGGACACCCCAGGTACAAGTTCAAACCTCTAAATCCCTGAGAAGTGATTTAAACACGAAGAAGATCTCTCTCTGTTTCGGACAGGGATTGCGCGTGTGAAATCCCTCCTGTCAGAGGTTAGACAAATCTATCTCAAAAGAGCATAAGCAGAGCAACTCCTGCACCGGGGCGTGGGAAGCGGGAGGCGTGAGGAAGAGGTTGGCAAGGAAGCCTTGATGCAGCGTCAGGGCAGAGCATGTTGGCAGCCTCCGCGTGTCCACCTATAAAACCTCCATCCCAGGAAGGTGCACCCTGCGCCAGTTTTTACTTATTTTCCTTATCCAGATCGTGCTGCAGGGGAAATCTCCACCACTAACGTTGCGAAGCGGCTGATTCTGTGGTGTGTCACATCCTGCCGGCTGGGCCAGGCAGGACACCGGGAGATGGAGGCGATGGAGGCTCTCGCCTGGGCTGGGTGAGGTGCGAGGAGCTACCTGGGATGTGATGCTGTGAGTCACTGACTCCAGGTCCCTGCTTTGCCGCAACAATCCTCCCAGGTGATTCCTCTTCTAACTTTACAAGGATTCCTCTTCTAACCTTAAATCTTACAAAGAGTTTGGAGCCTTTTGCTCCATGAGAGAGCGGGTCCAGCCAAGTGCACCCCTGACGTCTACAAACATGCTTCTAACTTCCATTTGACATGTATTCCTGGCCAGATGATCTCCATTTCTCTCTGAGTCAAAGCCTTCAGCTCTGAGAGGTCTTACCCCTCCCTGGTCTTTCCCAACATCTCTCAGCTGTCAGAGCAGCCCCGAGCATCACTGAGCCCCAGCTGCCGAAGACACGTAGGTCCTGCAGGAGCTCCCTTGGGGTGAGACAAGATCTGTCATGCTTGGGATCTCTGAAGGTCTAATGGACCGTGGACCAGAGCATGTCTCTTCCGCCAGCTTCAGCATCCCCTCTTGCTCTTGCACTATCTGTGCCATTCCTGTTCCTGAATCCTGACTTTTTTCCCAGGTCTTATTTTGGAGGCTTCTGATACAAGCCAAACTGCACCCATTGCCTCGTTGGTGAATGAAAGGACGTGCCAAGCAGATTCTCTCATTTTTACCTCTCTGATGAAGTGTGTGGGTTTTTTTACATTAGTATATTAGTATTTAATTGCTGGATTGCATAAAGAATCTGTGATGAAAACTGTCAGTTCCTTCTCAGTGAGGAAGGTGTCTGGAGCAGGAATAAAAAGATACCAGCTTGAATCAACCAGGAACCTCTATGTGAGGGTGAACGGGGACACTGCAAACACCAGCTTTGGCCACAAGAAGGAACAGAAGCAGTTCAAAGGGATGGAAAACACTGATGCAAGGAGGTTATGAACCATAATTTTTATTGCCTCCATGTCTGCTGTGAAATAAGGAGGTGAATAGCACTTAATATTTCACAGAGACGGCGGGTTACACCTTCAAAGTGTGTTACAAGCCAAATGACAGGAGGAGCGGAGATCCGTGAGCAACACGGGACATGCTGACCAACACGGCGACGTTGCGAGAGTGAAAAGTTTCCCTCATTCTTCCCCACTCCTCACGTCCTTTACTTCATCTTCTGGGCCGGCACTTTGCAGACCTGCTTTTGCTGCTGGCTTGGGACGCACTTTGCCACGGGCACGCAGCCTTGCTGCACTGGAGGGGGACAGGTCTGCACTGGGCAGCACTGCGGGATGCGTTGCATTGGCTTGCGGTAGCACGGCTTCCCCCTCTGGTACCCTGATCCGTGGCACATCTCAGAGCAGACCGACCTCCCATAGCCGTGGCATCCCCCCGATGACCCATAGCTGTATGTGGGTCTCCTGACGCAGCTTGAACCACCTCCGTGGTATGAACTTGATGACCCGTGGCACCTCTCAGAGCAGACCGACCTCCCATAGCCGTGGCATCCCCCCGATGACCCATAGCTGTATGTGGGTCTCCTGACGCAGCTCGAGCCCCCACCTTCGTGGCACGAATCAGCTGCAGCGTAGCCGTGGCATCTCTCAGAGCAGACTGGCTGCCGATAGCCGTAATGCCGGTAGTTGTGTCCTCTCATACCTTCAACGCCTTCGCCGTCGCACCCTGAGGAGCAGGTGTTGTAGCCGTAGCGGAATGGTGTGCGCCGGGTGTCCAGCCAGGACCCCGAGGGGTCATACCAGGTTGAATTCAAGTTGAAGTATGATTCTCTCCCAGAAGAGTATATCATGTTTGAGTGGTAGGGAAAAGCCTGAAAAACACACCGCCAGGTGGGCTTGTATTTCCATCTCCTCTGTTTTAACTTAATTTCCCATGAAGCTGCTTTAGTGATATACGTACAGGTCAACGTTGCTTAACCTGAAAGCCTGGATCTAAAGGAAATACTTGCAGTTGCCCGATACTGGTCAGATTATGTCCAAACCCTCTTTCTGATCTCACCCTAGATTTTTTTTTCCTCCAAGAACGGAAACTACCATAAGGCACTGCAGCATATAGTGCCATTGCTGTAAATCCCATACCCAAGTCCCCCAATAGCTTCTTTCTTGGCTTAGCCCATCGTCCATCCAACCCTTGTGTGTGGAGCATGGTCTGAAGGCCAGTGCCAGCGTGCCAGGTCTGTGAGTTCCTGAATAATCCAGACACCCATCCAAAAATGAACCCGGCTGCTCCGGGATGTGTCTTACCCAGTTCACAAGGGAAGGCAGATGCTGATCAGTGGAGCAGATTGTGAGAGGCAAGGGATGGAGACCTTTTATATGGTTCCAAGTGTTCCCCTTGTAAATGAAACACGCTGCAGGAACGAGGACTAAATTATTTATTGACAAAACATCTCCTCCATTTGGATGGTGTTCCCAGCACTTGGCATGCTCTGCTTGACTCACAATTCCTGATAAGCATCTCTTAATTATAACGTAGTTACTGAGTGGTGCACATAAAGTACTCACATTGTTTAAGCCACACATTGACTATGTGAGGAGGGTAATAATGTACTTATTCACCATCTCCAGAGGACCAAGACACTGACTGGAGGCTGATGGGTGACCTATGAGTCAGGAGCTGTGATGTGCACAGTGTTAAGGTCCCGGCCTTCCCATTCTGCTACCCGTGAGGAGCATTTCCATGTGCCTGAAGCACAAACAGGTGCTTGGGAAGAGCCACCTCAGAGTCACCAAAAGCAAATTGTGCTGATGGGTTTCGGTGATGAAGAGGTTGACTCTGTGGATGGCGGAGTGTGATGGATGGTGCTACCTCAGCTTTTGCAAGGCTTTTGGCACAGTCTCCCAAGGCAGCCTTGTAGTTAAACTAGTGGAGGTATGGACTGGATGGGTAAACTACACGGTGGGTGAAAAACTGGCTGATACTGGTGCTGGTGCTGTTTGACATCTTCATTAATGCCCTGGACAATGGGGTGGACTTGGCAAATCTACAGGAGGCACTGAATTGGGGTCAGCGGCTGAAATTGCTGGAAGATGGGATGTGGGCAGGCTGGAGGAATGGTCCTGCAGCTGGGATGGACTAACTGGGATGGAAAGGCTGGGGCAGCTGCTGAAAAGCAGCTTGGAAGAAAAGATGGACCAAAGCTGACCTGGGAGCGCCAGCGTGAGGGCTCATCTGGCCCTTGGTCTGCGGGCTCTGAGTCAGCCCTTCGGGCACCCTGCTGGGAGGGTGCCTGGGAACTGGCTTCAGGGAGGAGAAGACGGGAAGAAAACAGCTAATAAAATAAGGAATTTCTGAGGTTAAGGTTCATCTGTAAGTGGTTTTTCGTCTGGTTAAGATTAGACGTGAGAAAAATAAATTGTTGTGGTTTTCTGCATTAAGAAAACACGAACGAATTTCTGTTTTTCTTCCTCTGTTTCTTCGGTGGTTGCTAGCGGCCGTGAGGACACACTGGGGCTATGCTTAGCCAATGCAAACAAACAAAGGTATATATTTTGATGGCACTAGTGGAAGGCTTTTCTGGCAAAGCGGGAGAGAAACAGCACGTTACCAGTGTGCCTGCGAGAGCCAGGCAGTGGGGAGCTGCGGGGGAAGAGCCTGGCTTGCATCTTCCCTCCCGGAGCGAAAATTGCATTCCTGGCACGCACAGACACGCCTCACGTGCTGGCGCACACGCTTATTATCATGATTAACGTTTATATGATGGATGGGCTCCCGGTGCAGGGTTACTCTCTGGCTAATGAGGGTGATGGCACACATTACGGAGCAAACTGTTTGCGCCCAGATCACTTGCCGATGGACCATAGTGAAGTTCATCCATTGGTCCTGCGGCGGGTAAC